ATATATATATATATAGTTTACATTTGCTTTTACAGCGCCTCTATGGTGCAATCTATGAAAGCATCAGAAGCCAATTGTTTCAGCTCCTGGGCTCAGTGCTGGCGGTCACAGACAGACAGGACTTTCAATCTGCACCCCGCCAGGACCCGCTGATTGTCAGTGCCATTTTAAATTGGCACTGGGGCAAATACCCACACTTCCAGCGCTATTTCATAATGGGACTGGGGCTTCAAGTGGTTAAGGAAAACTGCACTATAAGTTTTTGCAGTATTGAGTCGTCACAAAACTGTCAGCCATGTTTATGCCGACCGAAATATTTTGCTAACAAACTATATTTGTTTACTGAAACATGACAGTTGCTCTGCACTTCTTATGTATGGATGGAATCCTCTTTCAGCTACTTATAAGGTCCAAGTGCAGGCAATCATCTTTCAGCTACTGATAAGGTCCAAGTGCTGGCATTAGTAATCCATTTACCAACCATAAGACTAGACTAATATCAGAAATCTGTCACTCTGCTTTTGAGCCAAATGGATATGAAAGTGATTACTTACAGCAGCAAGCAGTGGTAGGGCCATACAGCTGTTTATAATTTGGCCCATTAGAGTGTATCTGTAAAAAGGTTCCTTTAAGCTGCAGGGCTATATATAGTTCTTTCAGGCTAGAATTCAGCTGTGTAACACCACAAAATACATACTGTACAACTAATAACCAAAACCCTTGTTTATTTTCTCCAAGGTACAGCTCCAAACTCCCCAGTGAGCATGCCCGAGTCACCCATCTCACCTTCTGCCTCAGGAACCTGGAATGATGAGTGTACCATCTGCTACGAGAACATGGTGGACACAGTCATATACTCCTGCGGACATATGTGTCTTTGCTATACATGCGGCCTAAAACTCAAGAAAATGAACAATGCCTGCTGTCCCATCTGCAGACGTCAGATCAAGGACATCATTAAAACCTACCGCAGTAGTTAGGAACCTTTTCAGTTCACTTTTACGCCGGAGTTTAAAAAAAAAGACATTCTTGGGGAAGTTCGAGGCACTTAAATGTGACTGTAAATGTCTGTAAAGTTTCAGCTCTGGATTCAAGGATTCTGAAAACCAAGATATCAGGGAAGCATAGTCTTGTAATCATCATTATTTACTATGATACAGATGAAGCTTGCAACTTTTATACTAAACTGAGATCTGGAAGTATCCCTTGAAAAAAATAAGCAGTTTCTGCTTTGCAGCAAAGAAAATCATGATTCTGAATATCAAGCAATACCTGCTAGCATTAGGAAGTCAACAGAAAATGTGGAAGTTTTGTGTGTTTGTCAAGAGACTTGAATATACAACCGTACCATTGTACTGTAGTTATGACAAAGTGGTTTTACAAACTGTCAGCTGAAAGGTTTGAGCCATAGTGGGGTCTGCCAATGCTTTCAACTAAATTGGGATTACAAATGTTTAAGTTTTGATTGTTCATACCATCTACTGTGTTCCTCCTGGAAGCTGCAGTAGTCAAAAGTAGGCACCATATTGGGATAAGCCTATCATTTTACCCCCCTCCCCCAAGTCCACCCCTTGATTCATTCCCTCATTTCCCTCCCCCCAGTGCTAAGTTGACTCTTTTTACAGGTCCAAACTTGGGGGTGGTTACATGAAAACCGGTGCTGCTGAGGAATATTATTATCAAGTAATTGTTATTTGTTCTGAATTTTTTATACGTTAGGTGTAATTTTGCCGCTGTGTACTTCCAATAATGTATGAATAGAATTTGTAAATTTATGGCCAGGCATGACGAAACAGTGCTGCTCCACAGATCAATGATCTTTAATCATAGGTGAAAAAAGTGAAATAATCACATCAATCACAACATCTTTATAAATGTTGCAGTTTATGTTATCGGTGTTGCTGGGGTGACCTTTAAATGTCTGAAAAAATTATGTTTCTGTGAGCCTAATTATTATTATTATACAGGATTTATGTAGCGCCAATAGTTTGCACAGCGCTTTACAATATAAGGAAGACATTACAGTCACAATACAATTTAAGACAAGATGGTAAGGATAATGTATAATAATAAGATTGGGGTGGAGTAAAGACGCAAACCTTGTCATTGCTCTGGTGCCAGTAAAACATGTATGTGTGCTTGGACAGACACTAAGGCCCCTTTTACACGGGCTGATTTGTGCACAGATCCCCCTCTGATCAGAGTAGTATGGATAGGATTTCACTACTGTGACATCTGTGCCAGTCCAGTTTTTTTCCTCCACCTTGCAATGGAGGAAAAAACTGAAATGACCAGATTCCATGTTGGTCTATGGGGAATTGGATGTAAACTAACTGGTGTCTGCTTACATCAGGTAACCCCCGATCCGGCATGATCGGGTCCGAGGACACACAACACTGTTCTGCTTGTTTTTCTGGACCTGGCCGGAGTTGGGGGTTGCCCATAGACTTACATTGAGCACTCGATTGGTCTGCCTGAAAAACTGAAAGGGGAAGCGCTTGTCTGAAAGGGGCATAACTCTTTTCTGTTTTATACCTGAAGCATATTGAAGTGCATCCTATTACACTCTTATCAGAAAATGTGGTCTGATCAAGGCTCAGAATATTAGAAAAAGAGGTTCAAGGTAAGTCTTTCACCTTTTATAAATGGAATTTGTGCCTTGAAACAACAGCCAAATGGAGCCATTTAATATTAAATAGTGACTTTTGACGGCTTGTCAATCGTGTTCAGTGGATGCAACAACCCTTTTTTAGGATACAATGTGTGTGACAAAGGCTTCATGTAAAGTAATATTAGGGCTCTGGGGTTAATCCAGCTAGAACAAAAGAGGTCAGTAGTAATTCTAGCCAGCCACGGATTCACTAACATATTCCTTGAGTGATTTGAAGTTTGCTATGAGTCTTTTCAGAAAAGCTTTTTTTAATTTACATTTTGTTTTCGACAACATCCTCGGCCTAATTTTATATAATCCTGTTCATCAGAAGCTGTTTAAAGCAAGTGTCTATCTGGTCCAAAATCCTGCACTTTGTGTCCAAGCAATGTTAATCAATGCGTACGTTTCATAAAGTGACACTAAACTCAGGAATTAAACCATAAAAACACATTCAAGAACCTGAACTATTAACAAAAATGTATCTGATCTTTGTATCACTCGGCTGTATATCCTCAAATCATCTCTGAATTGGTGCTGACACCGTCCTTTCTTCTGGAGGATGGCTACCTTTGTTTCTTACTTGTGTAATGCAAAGTAGCCAACGCTCCAAGCTCGCTCCTGTGTTGGACTACAACCTCACGTTTAGTTTCCTAATTTATATTGAAGTTATAGTCCAGCATGGGAGTAAGCTTGGAGCCGTGGTTACTTTACAACACACAGGGACCCTGGAGAACAAAAGTAACCACCATCCAGAAGGAAGGACAGTGTCAGCACCAATTCAGAGATGATTTGAGGATCTACAGCCGAGTGATACACCAATAAGATACATTGTATCAGGTACTTGATTGCATTAAATAAAGTTTTGTGTCTCAGCAGGTTTCACATTGTGCTCCTTGGGCCGTTGCACTGCATTAATTATACCAGATGCACCACAAAAGGTGTGTGTACTGTTTTCTGTAATAGAGTGCACGATAATGCATTACCATGTGTTGCAATGTGCTACAGCAGCAAGTGACAAGTGTCTGCAAGGTGCATTGGGATGCCATTCAGAATGTTTTAACATGTGATTTGATGCTTGAGCAAGAATCTTTCTATAGGAACACCACATCTGAGGAAAAACCCAAAAAGGGAACTTTATCGTCAACCAAATTGATCTTTTAGATATATTGGTTTTGTCCTTGAAAAGACTGGTATGGGGCCAAAGATTTTTTTTAATGTATTTATATTGACTATAAAAAGTTGTGTTAAGAGATACCAATTGATAGATTGATAGGCGTGTAGAATAAGGCCAGAGTGACAGCAGCCCTCTGCTCTGCCTTACTACATTATGGTGGGAGCTACACACAGTTTTACATTGTTACAGCTTCAGTGTGTATAATAAGAGCAATGTGTACAGCAAGCTTTTCCTAAGCCTCTAACCACTTAACTCTCTAGGCCTCCTCCCGCAGTTTTTTGTTTCAGCGATGTCCGAGTTCTGCACATCTATATCTTTTAGGTATTGTAGTCCACCCTAACATATGATATATCATTTTTTGGGGGGGACAGACAGGATGCACACTGGGGAAAAAAAACTGTGCAAATTGTTATCATAACATCAGGAAAACTTAAGTCCGGTTGACAAGGGCACACAAAATAGCACAACTGTGACTTTTTCACAGTTTTGCTTCACTTATATGAGCATTTAATATGTACTATAAAAAAAAAATAATTACACACACACTATATTTTTTATTCTGGATCTGCTCAGTGGGGACCTGATCCAAAGCCCCCCCCCCCCCCTCGCAGAAGTAAATCACTTCTAATAGAGAT